AAGAGGCCAAAATACGTCAAGCACTCCAGGAATGTTGATGATTCGTGCCTTCTCACACTTTCGCTTCCGATGCGCTTTTGAGGCCTCACGATGGCCCGAGAGAGCCCCAAGATAGACAAGCGCGTTCCACTACTCGCTAAGTAGCTACTCGCAAATGGCCTGGATCCGCCACAGGGGATTTACGAGATATTACACAAAGGCAGACGTAGGGCTTTCTGGCTTTCTGACGTTTGCGAGTAGGCACTTTGCGAGTAGTGTAACGCGCTCGGCGACAAGAGGAAACCCAACAAGCCCCCAAACCGGCCCGAAGAACGCCTAACATCTGCCCAAAAGCGCCTCAAGAACGCCCCAAGAGGCGATTTCGATGGCCCAAGAGGGGGGGCCGAATGCAGTATCCCCCCTCCTTTGTTCGATAGCCGCCAAGATGGCCGCAAGAGGCCCTCCAGGGCTCCCAAAGAGGGCCCCAAGAAGGCCCCAGGAGCACCCAGGAGCGCCCTAAGAGCGTCCCACGAGGGCCCCAAGAAGCGGTTTGCTTCCTCCTGCTCCTCCTCCTCCTCCTCCTCCTACTCATCTTCCCTCCCTCGCCCCCGTTCTCTATGCATCAGCCGAGCCTTGCTTCATAACATGTGTGTCTTCGTCCTCTTTCCCCGTCTGCCCTCGTGCGCAAGCATGATGAATTTTCGTTCTGGCGGCGCCGACGCGTGGCCTGTACGGGCGTCCCGCGAATTCCTCGCGCTGGGGCCGGGCGCGGCCCGTGACGCGGAGCAACCTTTGGCCTCCGGCGTGCACCACGGGCCGAGATCCGAATTGCTCGGAGGGCGGAGAGACAAACGAGAGGGAACGAGATTTGAAGAAAGGAACGAGAGGACAAAATCGGATTGGGACAAATCGGAACTCTCAAAGAACATACGGGATTGGAGGATGTATCACGCGCCGCGGCCGTCCCGGAGCGCTCAGGAGCGCTCTGAGTCTGAGAGCGTGCCGGAATGCTCTGGGGCGATTGATCCTCATCCTAGGACCGACTGGGAATTGCTCGGGGGAGAGGGAAGAGGTGGTGCGGGGATCAGTACGGGCAGGATCAGTCAGCATCGCATTGGGCAGTAGGATCGAATCGAAATGTGCGGCGGATCGAGCCGCATCCTGACGGAGTCAGGACAGAATCGGAGGCCGCATTGCTCAGGATGCAAGTTTCTCAAGGTCCACAACATCGCCGTACACACACACACTCACATCGGGCCGCATCGGATCGTCGGAAGACCAGAGTCGAACAACATCTGGCCAGCTAGATTTCATATCGAATCGGACCGATGGGATCGAAATGGACAGCGAGCAAGTGCGAAGGATAGGACGGCGAGGAACACTAATTATCTGCACTCGGGCGGAACGCCTAGGACGCTGAGCCACAACAAAGCATGCATATTCGACTGCGCGAGCGCACGCACGGCAGCTCACCGATGCTGGCTTTGAAAGAAGAGCAGACATTGGGGTGGGGGCAAAGGGGCCTCCTCCACCATTTCTCATGCTTTGGCGCGCCCGAGACGGGCACCATTAGGTCGGACGTGTCCCCCTACAGGGGGATTTTCGACGGAAAATAAACAGAAACCCTAAAATCATCGAAAATGATGGAAACATCGTCCCCAGACTATGTGTTTAACCACTATTTTTGAATATTCCTCTGTAGAGGGACGGGCCCGACTTAAGGGTACCAGCAAAAAAGTGGGTACGATGCACAAGAGCGAGTGTGGTGCGAAACTGACAGCGGCCGCTGCTGAGCGAAGGCGACCTCTTGTACCGAAATGGGCAACGGGCCTGCGGCGACACCAGCAGCGAGTCTGACCCAAAATGAGCAGGAGCTGCCACGTCGTGGCCCGCAGAGGTTTCCCACAAGGCCGGCCCTGGATCCCGAAAAATCTCAGGACCCGTTTCCCTCAGGATCCGTCTGCTTCATGGAGAGAATTGGTGCTGGCCTTCCCCCCTTCCTTCCGCCACCATATCGACCGCCACGAGTCCTCTTCCTCCTCGCTCTGCGGGAGGACGCCAAGGGTGCCAGGCTCAACGCACGTGGGCGCTCGGGTCGAACACCCACTGGTACGGTGCCTGGCAGGATCAATAAGCATCGATCGGGAAATCGGATCGGATCGGAACGTGCGTCGGATCGGGCTGCATCGGCACGGAGTTGGATCGGATCAGATCGGCTGATCCAACGATGCACAACAACACCGTGCCTGACTCGAGCTGCATCGGACTGTCGGGATATCAGCGCCGGATGAGTTCGGGCTGGCCAAGACCAACATCGCATCGGATCGACCGATCGAAATGGGCCCTGCCTTGCTCCCCTCGTCCATGTCCGGAATGCGAGGGTTGGCGAACCAGGCGTAGAGGGGGAAGTCCTCGTCGTTCATTGCCATGGAGCCGATGCCCTCGTCGAACGTCTTCTCATCGTCTTGCCCCCACATGGCGGCATGAACCTCGAAACCGTCGTTCTCGACGTCGCGCAAAAAGTCGTCATAATCGCTCATGTCCTGCCGCCGTACTATCTTGCCGTCGATCTTCCACCCGATGATGTTGCCTCCAAGCACGATGGTGTACGTGTGCCAGTCGTCGCACGCGTCGAAGTCCACTGTCACTATCTTGTCAAACGTCTTGTTGCTCCCCGCCACCCGATAGCTGGTAAGGATCCTGCTCTCGTCGTCGTCGCACTCCCTGCCCCATATCTCGAACTTGACCTCATTCCAAAGGATCTTGTCGCTGGTGAGCCTGCCGAAAGTGTCGAGGTACCACGTCGTCACAATGCCCTCGCCGTATGCACCCTGCATGGTCACCTCGTACACGCCTTTCCCCGTGTGGCCGTGGGAGGAGAGGCGCGAGCCACAGTTGTCCCGCTCCTTCGACTTGCACCGAAGCCTCACCGAACGATCGGGCTGGTCGTCGCACTCCTCGGAGGAGTAGTCCGACTTCATGAACGGGCCCAGCACGCACGACGGCACGGGCGGGGCCAGGTCGCAGGAAGCGCCGCACTGCTCTATTGCGGCCAGGCGCAACTCGTTGTCGTATGCGGTGCAGTCGAACTTGTAGTTGCCCGCGTCGGAGCAGTCCAGGCACTGCGAGTAGCTCTTGTCGGCCTTCTGCACGCACGTGTAGCCGTGGTTTGGGCAAGGGCCTCCGCAGGGCTGCGCCCACGGGGGGATGAACTTCTTCTTGGCCTTCTTGCCCTTCTCGTCCTGCTCCGCAGGAACAAGATACAACATGACTGGAGGCCTCCCTCACGGGACCAAGGCGGCGAAAGGCCTGAAGATCGCACCGCATCGCCGATGCAGCGCTGATGCACCCGCGACGGTGGAAGGAAGAGCATCGGACCCCAGATCGCGTCGCATCGCCGATACATCGGCGATACGGCGAGAGCCTCCGACGGTTCCACTCGTGCCCTGGTCAGCCAGAGGGGTTCCAGCGTCGATCCCAGAGCTTCGTCTGGTCCTCCGAAAGTGTATGCATATGCGGACAGATGTCATCGGGGGTCCGCGCGGATTTCTAGACTCGGTCTGCACCACCTCATCCTGGGCCTGTCTGACTTCGTCCGCCCTAGATGGTCCTCGTCTGGTTCGTCGGGTCAGAATTCGCGTCTCGGGCCACCGCTCGCAAAGACTCGGGTACCCGCGAAACGCTCTCGGCGAGACGCAGCTGCTGGAGACCACTCCGATACTTGAAAACCAACGTTGAAGCGACGGACCCGTCAGAAAACCCCAAACCTCGAACTATGTGTTCCTTCGACGCGATCTTCTCCGACCGAGGGGACCTTCGGAGGTTTATGCTCCGCGAGGTGCTCGTTACCTTGGGTACCCTCAGCTTTTCGCGCCATATGGAAAATACTAGATTTTCCAGAGAACCCCTCACAAGGCGCAGAGGGCCCCACGTCGCCTCGGGCCAGGGTCACATCTGGCAACACTCGAGGCGGACGACTGGGCGGTCTCGTGGAAGAGGGGGTACAACATCAGCACACGCAGCTAGTTTCGAGGAAGGGCTCCCGATGATCCAGCCCGAGTTGTCATTTCACAGCCCCGAGGCCCAGGGAGGTCCTAAAAATGCCCAAAGACGGCGGCCAACGTCAGAACCCGTCCCTCGAGGCCCGCTTGCTTCGTGGCGAGGCTCCTTCCTGGGTTCGCTTCGGGCCATAGCTCGGGCCTCCGGCGGTCGATCGGGATGATCCCGGCACCCCGGGAACGCCCTCGACGAGGCACAGCTGGCTGAGAGAGCATCCCGAGGTTGAGAGACCTGATGGAACCGACGAGTACGTCCGAGAACCTTTTTGAACCCTCTCAGACAACACACAGTTTGTATAGTTTCTCTTCTCCGATAACCGGCACTTCGGCGAGATCGGCCTCCGATAGCGAATCCGACGTTCTCAGGTGGGGGGGGCGTTCGGCCCCGTCGGCGACGACTGGGCGCGATTAGGTGCCCATGCCCATAAGCCCCTGCGAAGACAAGAAGCAGCCTCTCCTCCTCCTCCTCCTCCTCCTCCTCCTCCTCCTCCTCCTCCTCCAACTCCTCCTCCTCCTCCTCCCCCTCCTCCTCCTCCTCCTCCTCCTTCACCTCCTCCTCCTCCCCCTCCTCCTCCTCCTCTCTCCTCCTCCTCTCCTCCTCCTCCTCCTCCTCCTCCTCCTCATCCTCTTATCCAGATCCTCCTCCTCCTGCTCCCCATCCTTCTGCTTCTCCTCCTCGTTCGGAAGTGCAGGAGGAGGAGGAGGAGGAGGAGAGGAGCGGCAGGAGGAGCAGAAGGAGGAGCGGGACCAGGAGGAGCAGGAAGAGGAGGAGAAGGGAAAACAACGAGGGAGAAGGAGCAGGAGGAGCAGGAGCAGGAGGAGCAGGAGCAGGAGCAGCAAGCAGCAGGAAGAGCAGGAGCAGGAGCAGGAGGAGGAGGAGAAGGCGCCGCCCTTCCGTCCCCATGCCGCTCCTTCTTCTCCGACGATGCCGCGGCCGCCGCGATGGGCGCCGCGCGCCCGCCGCTGCCGAGGCCCGCGCGCGGCGCCGCCGCGCCGGGGCGCGCCCGCGCCGCCGCCGCCTCTCCGCCGGGGAGCGGCAAGCAACGGGCTGGGGAGGTTGGACGGGGTCGGCTGGCCGTGTGATAGTTTTTTATTCGGCGTTTCGACCTTGGGGGGGGAGGGGGGGGTCTGGCTCTGGACCTCTGCTTAGTGCGACTGTCTGCGACAATGCGTCCATTGTGGGGGAGACTGCACCCGCTCGGAACAGGCGCCAAAAAACAGCCACGATCTACTCCAGGGGGGAGTAAGGGGGGGTGCGAGGGCCCGCGCCGATCGGCAAAACAAGGAATGATTACTCGATGATTACTCGACGCGGAGATCGCCAGATGTGCATTAACCTTCAGTAGAAGGCATTGTCCTTTTCAATGCCTGAGTGTCAGCAAATTCGGGTGGAAGACGAAGCCGAGAGATACGCCGACACCTACGACGGCTTTAACTAGTTGCTTCCTCATCCTCCTCTTTCTCCTTGCTTTCCTCTAAACACTTATCAAGGCGCCGGAATCTGCTCCGAAAGAGAAGGACGTTGAGCACCCAAACAAACACACCGCCTGAGACATCCCCCCAATCTGGGAGCGAACGGGCCCGTGAGATACCTCTGGCGCCCCCCCCCCCTTGGGAATGCTGAAAGCAGCGCCTCGGGGGGGCGCCAGGGGGTATCTCATGGGTCCGTTCGCGCCCAGATTCAGGGGATGTCTCAGGCGGTTTGCCTGTTTGGGTGCTCGACGTCCTTCTCTTTCGGAGCAGTTTCAGAGAATGTCTCATGCGAGGTGCTGGTTTCAGCAGTCCCAAAGGGGGGGCCGCCAGGGGGTATCTCACGGGCCCGTTCGCGCCAAGATTGGGGGGATGTCTCAGGCAGTTTGCCTGTGTGGGTGCTCAACGTCCTTTTCATTCGGAACAGTTCCCGAAACCGGCGCCTTGCCTGAGACCTCCTTGGAAACTGCTCCGACATAAAAAAATGCTGCGCACCGAAATCGGCAAACCGCCTGAGACAACCCCCCAATCTGGGCGCGAACGGGCCCGTGAGATACCCCCTGGCGCCCCCCCGTGGGAATGCTGAAACCAGCGCCTCGCCTGAGACATCCTCGGAAACTGCTCCGAAAGAAAAGGATGATGAGCACCCAAACAAGCAAACCGCCTGAGACATCCACCCAATCTGGGTCGAACGGGCCCGTGAGATACCATTCTCGGGAACTGCTCCGATAGAGAAGAGTCGAAAGTGAGCCTGGTAACTCAAATAGGGCATATAGCCTGGCAAATAGCATCCATCGCTCTGCTGTGAGGGTACAGTATGAGGGGTGGATGGGTAAGATAGGATAAGATCGATGTAATGATCTTTCCAGCACATAGCGAACACAAGCAGTGTCCGGGCAGATAGGGCGCGCGTGCCTTGAGCCCAAGGCAGCGGCGCGCGAGCTATGCTCCCGATACTATAACATCTCCCAAAGAGCTACCCTCAAAGTCGGGAGGGGAGGAGACGGAGAACATAGTCGCACGCAAAATTCGCGCGCACGACTGTTTGCAAAGAAATGAAAACAGTGCGTACAGACTGGCCAAACGCCAGACTGTAAGGCGAGTTTCCTCGCGAAGTATTTCACGCAAATACAGAACAGCCCCTTCAAATAATGAAGGGCTATCGGCCTAGTTGGAGGTAGGCCAAAATTAGGCCATACCTCACCAAGCAAATGTGTATTAAGGCAAAGAGCCTGAGTTGTATGAAGCCGGCTCGTTGCCAGGCGTGAAATATGAGGCTCGTTTCCGAGCAACTAGAGGGGCGCCTTTATAGTAGGCGCCCGTGCTGGCAAACTGGACCACGAGGGCAACAAGGACAGACTAAAATTGATTAGACTTAGGTTTGTCTCTGTCCTCGGGACCCCGAAAGGGAACAAATTGCTTCACGTCATACTTAAATGACTGAGTGCCTGACATCACTTCCAGAAGCAGCTCCCGATCGATGCTTCCCTTTGTATGCCCATCTGCGGTCATATCCCTAGTATCACACCATTGCACGTTATGTACTAAACCTATATCCATAAGCTCACGTATCCAACTGATATGTCCAAGCAGAGTCCGTTCTGTGGGTATTTTGAGATCCCTGCTCGATAAAGATTTGTAGACGGACTCAGCGTCTATGGTCAGAGAGACTTTGATAGCAAGGCCTCCAACTTCACGCATATCTCGTAGTTGTCGTGGAGTCAAGGCCCCTGCCTTAAGCTCATGGAGAGTAATGAGCGTAGGGTAACACTCATCAAGGTTATGTGCGGCTGCAAGTGCCTCCGCAGCATAATTGGACCTCACCTGTAATCGGTGTGATTTGCATAGTCCGTCACAGAGGTGAACGACGGACTTGCCTTGAGGCGAGTTTCCTCGCCGTAGTACGTTGGCCCCGCGTATGCCGTAGCCCTTGGTCTCGTCATCCTCCTCCCCGGTAAGCTTCCGATATCCCGGATCGCTATGGATGTCGACTTCATTCGTCGGCTTCATCCGACGGAAGGTGATGCGTTTCGGACTGCTGATCCGCTTTCGCGTCACAGCATTCAAACGTCTGACTTGTAAATTGGTGGGCTCTTGAATTTTCTGAAGAGAGACCACATATACCATAAGCCAGATTTGAGTAAGAAGGGCATAGGCGAGGGCTCCTCGCAGGCTGACGAACATGTCGGTAATAAGTTTCGTGGCTTTGGCGTCGGCCGCCGCTCCTGTAAGTTCTGGATGTGTGATAGGACGTAGTTGTTTGATATACTCGTCCTGGTCCATGATCACATCTCCCTGATCATTCTTAGTGTAGCGGACGGCACAGTTCGTATATGTGTGCTTGTTGAGCTTGCATTTGCCAAAAACCTTTTTCGACGCGTTGCACATAGTCGTCGATATTTTTCTCTAGACCTGTCATATTAATGTCATCGACATGTTTTGCAGTCAGAAGATCTTGGCTGAATTCCAATTCAGGATCGTAACTAGTCGGTGTAAGTCCTATAGCTCGTGTGGTCGTACGAAGTTTGAGAGAGAACGCTCTTGGGGCGTCCTTAGTACCCGTTCCTGGTTTGAGGCACCTAAGACAGTGTCGACTTTCGTCGTAGGATGAGAAGCCGGGTAGGGTACGAAGTACCTGAGCGCTTCCTGGTGGAAGAGTAAAGCAGACCATGCGAGTTTCCTCGCCAGTGGCATGGGCAAGTTCCTCGTAGGTCAAACCTTTAGGAACGCCTTATCGATATCCATGGATGCTAAGATCCACTCTGGATGACATGCCGCTTCACTTGCCAAGAGTCGTTGAGACTGCCTTCGGGCGGTTCCCGAGAATGTTTCCACATCAAAGGCCTCAGTATCCATAAATCCACGAAGGACCAATCTGAGACGAATGGTTTTAACGCTCTCGGTGCCCATCTTTACGAACTTCCACTTGTATACATATCTGGATGTCATGATGTTGGAAGCTTTGGATAAGTCGTACATCTCAAAGCATCGGTTATCAATCCAGATCTTGAGCTCAGTACATAAGGCTTCACTAACCTCCTTTGGATGTGCTGCTATGTCGGCTTTGGTCAGTAGGTCGTCTTCTTTGACAACCACAGCACGTTTAGCAGCATTGGATACATATACTCTCATCGTTGCAACCATATCGGTATCGAGCTGTGCAAGTTGGGTCTGATCCAACACTATTTTTGACATTTCTGATGTAAAGCATAGTTCAACGTAAGGACCATATTCGTCACTGTCTAGGGAATAGCTCTCGTCGTTTGTGTTCGAACAAAGAGATACTAGACAAGACTCACATGATTTAGGCTCGTCTCCGAGCATATCTGATGATGTAATATCATCTTCGTCCGCAAATGCTGAAACCAAAACGCATTGGTTAGGCAGCATAGTTGTTGGGACGCAATAGAGATAATCATCTGTAATCGTCGTAGGATGAAGGTCCATACGTAGTTCGTCGTACCACTCTTCCAGCATCATGGCTTCGATATTGTGTTCCTCATTTTCCTCATAGATTGTCGACAGACGGCCTTCGCTAGGCGATGAAGCATCTGGTGTGTCTGGAGAAGGCCTGTTTCCAGGCGACTCGTGTTCTCCAGACGTGTTGCTTGGATGCTGATATTTAGCCAGGTCATCGTGAAATCCTAAGGAAGGGACACGTGAAGTCAAGCATTGAATAAGTCTGGAGTGAGTGCTACCAGTAATCTGAGAGATGTTTAGGCCGGTGCCCACACATTCGTAGTAGTGGAACGCCGGGCTAATGTCATTGTCATAGTGGATCAGCGTAGACCCGGTGGCGTACTTTACTGCAGGTAGGCTTGACACACTCTTAGCCAATCGAACTGCTACTACATGTTCCACTCTGAAGTAATTTCGTACGAGATACTGTAGTGCTAGGTGTACGCGCGGGTGAAACTTGCTATCGTCTGACAGGTTAAGGTTTCCCTTGTAGTCGGGAATATACCCGAAAACTTTGGCAGGTTTCCCTGCACTGAGATGTGCCACATAGGCAAGGACGGTTTGCATGGCCATGTTATCCATGCCAAGTTCCCGTGTGAGGAGACATTCGATGTATAGTGTGTGACGAGCATCAGGATACATCACAATTACCTCACGAGATCCTGCCTTGACAACGATATGTCCTCTTTCAGGCACATTTCGGATCACCGGGAATGGGCCATTCCAGCCTCCATGGTCGTCCTTGGTGGCAGTAGGTCGGTGATAGTCGACCAAATCACCTGATGAGTAAAGGCGAGCACCATCAGGAGTCGTCTTGGCCCTAAGAGCCCGATTTGTCTTGGCTACAGCAGTAGCCTGAGTTATAGCTTCTAGGCTGACTTCCCTTACACGACGTTCTCGTTCGTGTCCTGAAGTCTCGGGTCCCTTGGGAAAGTCAAGGGTATCGAGATCAGGAAGGAAGGAGGGCTGACGTCCTGTGTGTGCCTGATATGGCGATACTCCGTTATAAAACGTGAACGCATTAGTAACGAAGA